GAAGTAACTATATATGACTCAATTTTGTCTCGTCTCGTTGTCATCAGACGATTAGTTCTTCCGAGGACACTTAGCAACCGTCAGTTCAGTGGTAGTGGTACGTGCAAAATGATTAAAAAAATCTGTTCGAATGTACTACTCTTCTGAATACAGTTGTCATTTTGTTGTTCTGTCTTCCCACTATGTGGTTAGATACCGTGTCAATTAGCCTCATAGTCATTGATTATATTTAATTGATCAACGTTGTTAATACCGAAGACTTGACAGCCGTACATTTTACCACCGGCTAACCTGTCGGTGTATATGATCATATTTCATATAAGCAGATGGCAAGAAATAAAGAATTGGCTTTTAAAGCTTACTGGGTTATGTTGTTGATTTTAAAAGCCCTACTTGGTTCAATATAAGTATGAGAAAACGCCCCTACCAAATACGATTTTACGAGGCAGGTGTGAAAGTAATAGAAAGGAAAGGAAGGGTACGAATGCGAAATAGGAATGGCTTTCTAAAGCAACAGTCTCAGATATTTCAAAGAAGCTTTAACTGATTTCGTCTTACTTTTTAATAACAACAAAAAACTGCTACTTATTCTTCACTGGCTTTGATTCTGAACCATCTACTATCGTCTTAAGCTTTTGAGTTTTGTGGTCGCTTCAACCCGTCAAGCGAATCAGGAGGTCTACATATATGCTAACGCAATGCAGTTATCTATCATTCCATAATGGCACATCATACACTGACCACCTCCATTTTTTTTATCTAGACCCAGGGCAGGCAAATAATAATTGTCAAAATCGCTCAAACGACATACATAACACATGTCAAAGCCAAATAAGTCGATATTTCCAATAGTATACAAGTTCCAACCGAACATCACCTACCCTCCTTACCTCTCGTTTCCCTTCACCTCCTGATACTAAGAGTAAGCTTCTTACGACTTAAGTTTCTCATTCTACGACCATTGCCAACGATTAAAGCCATCGAAACACTATTCCTAGCTTACTGAAACCCCGTTGTCGATTTCGTTTTTGGACTATCAACATCCAAACTCTGTACTAAATCGGACAGCAAGCACCTCGAGCGACGGATGTTTGCTGTATGCAGAACCCGAGTGTGGTTATTCACTTGACCTTACCTGACCATTGCAGTAAATCTTCAAAGGTGACGTTACGAGTACCTGGAGACTCAGTGGCTAGCTCGTCGATTAGCTGATTTAAGCATAACAGAGTTGTAGAGCAGAAAGCGCACTGCTCAACAGGATATCAGCTGACAGCCGTCTGTGTGCTGCTCAACTGAATGGATCTGTGAGAAATGAAACCCATCGTGTGACTAACTGATACTTATTCGTAATCTCCACCTACTCACAACGACTGCAGTTCGGATGATGCAAATGATAAATTCTATGAGAAGCTGTCAATTTTGCTACAGAAAGTAAATCGTTTAGATGTAGTCATAATGGCAGGCGACTTTAACGCTCAAGTGGGGGAGTCGAGTCAGTCGGAAAGGCATCCTGGAGGCATTTACGGAATCCCATGCCAATGAACCAACAACGGTGATTGTTTGTTTAAATTTTGTTCTGAAAACTACTTGTTTCTGGCCGATACTAACTTTGGACATAAGGATAGACACTCTCACATGGGGTCCACCGACATCAAACTAACGGTGGACACAAAGAGATCTTATTGATATAAGCCATCGTTGGAGAGGATAGGTGTAAGGTCGTTGCAGTCTATCTGAAGGAAGCCTTTCTGTGACAACCATGGGGCAACGGCTTTGACTGGCATGCTGTCGACGATTCTTAGGTGCATAGTGATCTGGCGCCTAGCTGTGGCTCTGGAACAACAAACTCAAAAGAATCCGACACGTTTGAGACCAAGACGAGGGTGGGTTGATGGTATTTTTTATCTTGCTACGAGTTCCGAACACAGGTATACCTACAGGTGGCCGACACCTGCCATATTTCTTGACCTGAAGGTAGCATTTTACTCCGTTGACCATGAGGCGGTGTGAAATGTTTGACTGTGAAAAGAGTAGTGAGCAGGTGTGTAATGCCTATCAAAGCTCTCTACTGGAATTCACCTCGCCTTGTAAGAGCCCAGTGAGATTTGTCATCTGAATCGACAATAACTAGTGGTGTCGGACAAGTATGTCAGCTGTCACCATTCCTCTTTAATTCCGTCATAGATGTACTGATCGACGTGATATTAGATACATGTGACTTCACAGAGATTGATCTACTCCCTGTAGGTCATCAGGTTGACTTAGGCTACGCAGACGATCTTGTCCTTCTAAATGGAGACGATGGAAAAATGCATTGGACGGAAATATGGGTATGTGGGCGTGTGTTTCATACTTACCAAATGTAAGGTGATACTGGAGGACTGGCCTACAACCACTCCCAGTTTAGTTATATGGAGCGAGGCAGCTGAATGTGTCGACTGACTGCTGTTTTGAGCCGTGTAGGTGGGTGCAGGCTGTCTGGCTACGGTCCCCAAGATGACGGGAATCAGTGGATGAGGACTGTTGCTGAAATGACTGAAAGTCGGTCACAATGGCTCAGATGTATTCCTTCTTTGACATCATCTCAAACTTGGATATTTACACCAACCGTTGTCTTTGAATTGTTTGTTCTTTCATATAACTGTCTTATTTGATATCAGTCTTTTTCTATCCACTTGTTCTTCGTATGCTGCTTTGAAGAATAGTACCTTGAACCGATGTACTCGTGTACGAGGTTCTACGTTGATTTTTTCTCTCCTTTTGCCTGTCTGCTTGTCTGTTTGACCTCAATCGGTGAATAATAATGATCTCTGATACACTCAACAGCCCGTTTCATTTCAAGGTAGCTCGTGTGATGTTTTCACCGGCTGCGAGAAATGCTAGAGACAAGGGTGATCGAATAAGCAGAATTGTCGCGCATTCTCCGTTGAGAGAAGTGATTTTCCGCAGCTTTTATAACCGATTCACCTGCACCGATGGGTTGTGCACCCAATCTACTACAATGCTACTGAGTTTATGACGGCAGCAAATGTAACTCCGGTTGCCTTTACCGGTTTGGCTTTCAATATACTGTTAGCAACCTCATCGATCACGTCTCCACCGGCACTCAAACAGCTACTAAGACACGCTAATCTTTCAAAAACTCCCAACAGTCCACCATCAAGGATGGGCGCTTGTACGGGTACTTCAATAGCGCGACGTATATACCGTACTTACAGACATCGATTGCCAACTGTTTGAGCGCAGTTTGAATTATTGCACATTGATTGTCACTCAGTAAAGTGATATCCAGTTGGTAGACATTCTACATCACTACCACGCACCTCCTTCACGGCTGTCTCGATAATGTCATCTGTGACAAGGCTTAAGAAGAGCGGTGAGATAGGGAAGCCTTGCCTAATCACACTGTTAGTTTGGAACAATGAGAAGAGGTATTTGTATACCATGAGTCTACTTGTGGTTGTTTTCCATAGCTCTCAAAATGTTAGCAAACCTCACAGAGACGATCATTTTCTAATAGACAGTTCCAGAGCACACCCCAGTCTAACAAATCTAAAGCAGTCTTAATGCAGCACCACCGGTGGCTGGTGATAGGAATTGTCGATTAGTAAATGTTATAAATGTTTGCTAACAGTCAAGAACATGCTATTTTATAGCCTTTTTCTTTTTACCAAACTAAGTTGCCGACATTTTAAAGACAGCAGTATCAAAAATCCATGAACGTTATACGGTTGGTTTCGGGAAACTCCTTGACTTTAAGCGTGCAGATTCTCTTTCTAATCAGTGGATAGGCATGTGTGACATACACTTCATTTAAAGTTATTAACTAAGGTAATGTTGAAACATTCCGAGTTTTCCTGTAAATCAGGTTAGTCTGATATACCAATGACAAAAATCCTGTACCACTCATCCTCTTGCAAAGAGAAAATACTTACAAAAGGTGTGTAGGAGCTAAGGTTGCACAAAAAGTATTTTCAAATGTGAGAACGGTTACATTTATGTTTTATGGATGTGGTTCCCCTTAAGAATTTTGATGAAAACTAGACTATGTATCCAACGCAGTGAGGTCACTACACTTTACTATAGTCTTCAGTCACATATAAAGTAGTGTTTTTAATCTCTTAAGTTTGCAAACTACTTATTTATTGTTTTGTGACCACCAAAGTAAAAATATGTCCACAGTGTTTTTTGCGTGCTAACCATGCTTACAATTCAATAAGGATTGCTGAAATCGAGACCCTTCAGAATACTAAAAAGCAGTGAAAAAATGATCAAGTCATAAATGCTTTACCATAATTTTTTTTGTATATTCTTGTTATAGTTGTAAAGAATATTCACGTCAATATGAAACTAACGGCTAATAGTTGTATTTAATACCTAAAAAACATGACGCATACGGTTTGCACCAGTCGAAACCCTCATTGTCTGTTCGTACTCGTGCTCTGACAAGCAAATTCCACACAAAATTAGCTAGTAAACGTGCTTTGTTATCTGCTTCTGTTAGCCTGCGATTACGCCATCAGAATAGCAATGCGGAGAGAAGCCACCTACGACGTTGTCATGTCATTTTAAACGCAGATGCTTGCTTGTCAGATGTTAAGTTATCTACAGGAGACAACAGTCTTAGTGACCAATCTGTGATCAATTCCGTTCAAGATACCTCTGCTTCTTCCATTTCTTCTGCTTCCTCTGGATCGAATGGGCAATCTGTCTGTAGATGGAAAGATTGTGAGTGTTCTGACATTGAACGCACTCAGTTGGTTAATCACATCCAACAGATACATGTCCTTCCACAGTTATCTAGTCGACGCAAATATTTCTGTTGTTTATGGCAGGATTGTCGAGTGTATGGACGACCTAGCGTTTCAGCTGCTTGGCTGGAACAACATATACTTCACCACACAGATGCCAAAGGAAAACCATTTAGATGTATTTTTGACTCGTGCTTATTAAGGTTCTCCACATCCACATTGTTAGAACGCCATGTTCAGCGCACGCACATGCGTACAAATCGTACCAAAAAAGAATCCTTTTCGGACGGATCAACAGCGGATAAACAAATGTGTCGACCTCGGTCAAAAGAAGTTACGAGTTTACAAAGTTCAACGAAACAGTCCAGCTCATCGGTACCAATCAAGAAAAATCTACCTAGGCGTAAGAAAGCGCGAACATACCGAGGTTAGTTCATACTTTTTTTGCATGTCTTATGCATAATATACGATCCTTCTGAACTTCAAAGTATCATTTATTTTTGTGTTTAGCGACTTTAGTCTAAAAGTTTATGATGATAACTTGCAGTTTCTAGTCGTAAAATGCTAATTTTATATATATTAGATTGTTTTTACGATATGAACTTGTAAGTCTACGTAAACACTTCATTTATTTTATCGAATTATTACTTTTACGTGTTGGTAACACTAAATAACCAACTCGATTTTGGACACAAACAACAAAGTTAAACCCATCAATGTAGTTATAAACTTGCACTTTTGAGGTGATTTAGATTTGTAGCAAATCGCTACGTGCTTCGATATTGTGTTGACTAGCGTAATATATGAAGGAAAGAAAACGCTATTAATGAGTAAATTATTTCTTCAGTGATTCAAGTTTCTCCAACTGATGTCAATCCATGATAAATACAAACTTGAGTCCAATGAATAAATCCCCACAAACCTCCAGGTTGGTTCAAGTATGTTGGGGAAATGTAGTCACGGGTTCGTTATTTAAAACAAGCTTGTGGTTTAAGACGTTAGTTATGATATCTTAAGATTAAATCATTGGTTGAATAACCTTTTGTTTTAGAACTATCTGTTTTACTCATTCAGATGAACGTTTCTTTATCATTTCATCATGCGATGCGAATGATTTCATTCAAATGAATGCTAATGAGATATTAAGCTACCTATTAAAGGATCATTATGGTGCCTTGCAGGTGGCTCTCTCTTATTGCGCTTAGTGAAAAAGGTGGTGCTAAGGGGTTGTAGATTATCATGCACTTTTGCCTGCTTCAACAACACTTCCTACTCACTTGTTTTTTGTATGATGTAACCGCACTCTTGTGCTAGTTTTAACATTAGTTCAACTGTCTGCCTACTTAAACTCAACACAGAAAAGAATTTTGTGTTAAAATTGCGGTGAAATTCAAATCTTTTGCGAGGCATAGGAGTATTCAAACAAATTGGACTATCTACTGTATGTTACAGTGTGTGTGATTTATTACGTCTAAATCCGTTTTTTTCTATGCCTTAATTAGTGCTTTAGTGGAAAACGTATGTACTCTCATACAACTTTGTCTACTTTCATATCACTTTTTTTCTACCCACCTGTTCTTTGTATACTACTGTGAGGTGTGAAAACTTGGGCCGATGCACCTGTGTGTGTGTGACTTTTGTCACTATCACATGTACTTGGTATCCCTAAAAACAGGTGAACATATGTGTACGGTAGGGTTATAATCAATAATCGCTTAAACGTTCGGATGTTAAGCAATCAGTCGTGTAAACGTGAGTAATACTTAGCTACCCAAATTCCAGTAGATTGAGTAAGGTTCGTATGTACTACTCGCGTATTGAAAATTGAGTGTTTAAACCAAAGGGTTGGTGTGCGTAGAAATCTAATTCGCTAAAGAAAGCTAACCCGTAAGAAACTAGTATAACCATTGTTCCGAAAGTGACAGCATAAAACATTACTTTTTGATATTCAGCATCAAAAGATACAATAAATAGCCGAAAACACATGAATTACCAATTCTCATTAAATAAATAGTCGACGGACTTTCGCAGCTTCGTCAGTGTTACTGTATCTTATCGAAACGTTCCCAAATGTATGCTTAAAAAGCGTAACAAAACAACTTCAATTTAGAAAAAATCTTCAAGAACGTGGCATAATTTCGTTTCCTTCAGAATAGTAGTTTTCATGCAAAGGTTATATAGCAAAAGTGGATAATCAAGAAAACACTAAATCATGTTCAACATTCACTTTTCATTGTTTGTTTGATACAAATGCTAAAACATCACTCGGTATTCAGCAAACACTATTTTTATCGATAGGCTAGTTTACAAAAACGTATTAACATAAATTAAGCTTACTTCTGCCCAGATCCATGAATCCAACGTATGAGAAATTCACATCGACCATCCTGGGATAAACGTTGACCAACAAACTACAAAATAAAGGCAACAAGGCTTATTGTCAGCGACAGTTATTCACATTTGGATCATTCATTATGTCCAATCAAATGATATATGCATAGATATATACGTATATCCATGCATAGAGATGGATGTAGGGAAAACTAGCAACAAGGCGAATGCAGAGACAGTTCAATAATGAAACTGCCATGGCTACTGTCAGTGAGAAGCCGGTTCGATAGTTATCAGAATAGAATATCAGCTCTCACCTGAAATAAGATTGCAGCCATGTCCAAACCGCTGTAAACAAAAACAATGAAGACCACAGCCAACTCTCAGAGAGTGGTTGAAAAGAACCAGTGGATCTCAACAGCTTTTTCTAACTTAATAGATGCACGTGAATACATTCCTTCAGCCTCCGAGTGCAATGAGGAGTGAAGGCAACTCAAACATAAACTGACAAAAAGTCCACGCTATGACCGCGAACTATGGTGTACAGCGAAGGCTAAAGAGATGCAAAAGGCAACGAATGACGCTTTCTAACAGTAAACAGCGAAATCGACACCGGTTGGTGAAACGAAAGAGAATAAGGATAGAATGGCGACTGACTAAGTGAATAGCTTATATGAATGGCAGGCGGGACCTTTTGAGGAACAGATCAACTGGCCTGACACCACAATTCTGTTGCCACCAACCCATCACATCGAGAATAGCACATTGAGATAGGGCTTCCAGCACTTTTCGAAATCGATAGAGTTGTCAGTAACTTTATAACATGAAAGGCAACAGGATCAAACAGACTAGTTACCGGAGGTGTTTAAGGACGATAGTTGACGATTACTGGTCAGACTAACGGGATTCCTGGCCAGCGTATGGGAATCAGATATGATCCCTGTTGTCTGGTCTCAATCACTATGACTGTCGCTATCTTTAAGAAAGGTGAGAAATCCTACTGTGCTAACTACAGGTGAGTCAGTGAGACCGACAAAGTGTCTGAGATTCCTGGTTCTGTTATCACTAGACGTCTGAAAGGAGCCCGGCAACAGCAAGTCCGAGAAAGCCAGGTAAACAGGCTTCCGACCTGACTGTGGGTGTATTGACCAGATATTCACACTACGCAGGGTTCTGTAACACAGGCACATCTACTGACGCCCGACACTAGATATACTTCTCGACATGCGTGCAGTGTTCGTCTCCATCGATCGAGAGGTTCTATGGCAGTGTTTTTCACTGAAACGAGTGCCGAGTAATTATATCATTCTGTTGAAACGTCCGTACCCCAACAACCACGAGTGCGTTACAGCCTGTGGTGAGTTGTCAGTTGAGCTGTGCACATCGAGTGATGCCAGTCAAGGATGCTTACTCTATTCACTTTTTATTCAACCTTCTCATCGACATTCTCACAGACGTCTCCCTCTCATCGTCAGACTTTACGGTGATTGATCTTATCACCAGAGGATCGTTCGTAGATCTAGAGTAGCCAGATGACAAAGTCTTGTCAGGTGAAGATAATGACAAGATGCAGTCTTCTGGTCACCTTGAGTGGGAATTCGAAAGTGTGGCATGCGTTTCTCGCCGCCCAGAAAAAACTGGTCTTTAGTGATGCCCTGTCTAATAATGAAGCGTGGAATGGTTAAGTGCGTTGATCACTTCACTTACTCAGAGGTCGGATCAGCTCTGATGGGTCAGTGACCGACAACATCTTTGCACGGAAACCAAAAGTTCGACAGGCTCTCGTCAGCTTACGCCACTCATGGCTCAGCCGTGTTATCCCACTGCCTGTTTAGGGTCGAGTGCAGTTCACTCTGTTTTACGATATGGCTGCGAAACATGGCCATTAAAGGTAGAGGACATGAGAAGGCTTCCGGTGTTTGACCACTGTTCATAGTACAGGCCATGTATCGTCGTGTCACCACGTGATTAAGGTAGAAGTCAGGAGTAGAGTTTTAGGGGGGGGGGAAGTAAAGAGTCAATTGATGTGGTTGTGAACCTTCATCGACTGAGATGGCTGGGATATGTGTTACGCATATCTAGTCACTGTCTACCCCGTCGCGCAATGCTAGGTAAAGTAGGTTCAGGCCGGAAAAAGACTCGGGCAGGTCAGAATAAAACATGACACCACTGTATTGAGTCTTTGACTGCTGGTCTGAGTCATGTAGGGAGATGCAGACTGGTCGGTTGGGGTCCACATGACAACAGAAACCAGTGGTTGGAGACTCCAGGTGATATGGCTCACAATGGATGTCAGTGGCACAAATGCATTTACATTTTATCTCCACCTTAGGCGCTGTACTGAATTCAGTATTTTTTTTTCACTCCTCGTTTCTCTCGTTTACTACTTTCTACTTCTTCTGCTCGATTTTCCTTTCTTTCTTTACCCTTGATTTTGTTACTTGGTTACTTGATGTGGTGATACGAGGTGTGGCAACCTCGACCGTTACACAGTAACGCCTGATTCTATATTGATATTGATTGATTGAATACAGATCGGTCACAATGGTGTAGGTGTATTCCCTTTTTTAAGTCTTCTAAAGCTCGAACATTTTTACTAACCTTGGTCTTCAAGTTGTTTCTCTTCTTGTACACCTTTATCTACTTTAATAACAGTCTTTCTTTATCTACTTGTTCTTTGTATCTTACTGTAAAGTGTGGCAACTTGAACTGATGTACTTTTATGTAAGATACTATCTTGATTTTGTTCGCCCTACCGAATTACATCTTTGTTCACCAGTTCCTTAAATAAGTGCTAAATACGTATATGAATAAGGTGTATCCCAATAATGTCTACCAACCCTAAAACTTCAAAGATATATATCTGAAATACTATCCCTTCAAGCTCTTTTCATGCGTTTCGTTTGATACAAGTGGTACGTTGCAAGAAGTGTAACCCCTTTCGATTACACTGAAGGAGTATACACAAACACGAGTAATAGGAGACGCATTTGCTAGATAGTTACTTTTTTTTCACGAATAACGGTATTGTTGTTTCTTAGCCATCCATTCATTACTTTGCAAAGTAACCAAACATATGATAACGGCTGCAATGAAAATTCACTCCACACATTTCAACACAGTTTTCAGATGATTGATAGAAATCACTTTTGTCCATGATTCTTCTGCTTGTTCGTAAAATTATAATAGGTAATCTTGGGAAATATGATGATCAGGATTATTTAACGGTTATGGTTAGAACATGTTCAGTTTTCATTACCTTAAATTTTATTTGCTAATTGAGATGGTAACTATAATCAACAGCTAGTGGTCTACGTTTTCTGGTTTGTTAGCTGGTTAGTTGATTTCAGGATCTGAAAGTGGCATATGGTGGGTATAAAAATGCAAGTTATTTATTGCTGCTATGCAGGTTGCTGGTTACGTTTATTTCAGTGCTTCTCGTTTAAAGGTAATCAAATTAAATATAGTTGTATTTTACTGTTTGATAATGAACCGAATATTATAGATTCTCTGAGTAAAAACCGGTTTTTCCTTTTGCATTGCAGTTCGTCGTGTGGATTTTTATGATTACAGAAGTCAGATAGTCATCAAAAATAGACTAAGGATTCCTTATCTTCTCAATAGGGAGCTGGCAACTGAAACCAATAATGGGAGCGCTCATATTTTACCTCTGAAAATGTGTGACCTTCCGTCGAAACTTTGTGAAAAATCCTTTAAGCCTCGTTTACGTACTCATGGTAATTCACCAAATTCTGGAGTTGACAAAGAATTCGACCTGTCACTACTGTTGAAGAATACTAAAGATGTTCATCAACACATATCACTGCTATTAACAACTCCTCATACGGTAAGTATAATTGATTCACTTTAAAGTGTTGTTGATATCATTGTTAATTGTATCTGTTTTGAAAGGGGTTTCGAATGAAACATCCTAAATTGAATTACCAGTATTTTAAGCATAACAGTTTCTACTAATATCGAGGTTAATTCTTAGAAATAAAGCTCACTACTCTCAGTACTCAACTTTTAGTAGTGTTTTTAAATCCCATCGCCCCTACCTAAAACCCCAGGTGTTGTTCATTGCCTAGTACACAAATCTGTGCGAAAACTCTAATCAGTGTGCTTTTACAAAAAGTTTTTTTGATTAACTAGATTCCACAATAAAGTGAATTCGCCTTATTCTTTTCTTGATTTCTTTTCATCCAACAGTCTGAAGTTTACAGGAAGTTAATACGTAGAATATCTAAAATTTTTATTGGGCTAAGGGGACATGAATATTCGATAAACCAAGCGGTTTGGAGTATTGTAATTCACTGTGCGGAAATTATGTATTTGTCGTCGGACCGAATTTGGAAAATAAACGCAGAATGTGCGGTAACAATATTGATAATTTACGCATGAAAAGAGCTTGAAGGGATAGTATTTCAGATATATATCTTTGAAGTTTTAGGGTTGGTAGACATTATTGGGATACACCTTATTCATATACGTATTTAGCACTTATTTAAGGAACTGGTGAACAAAGATGTAATTCGGTAGGGCGAACAAAATCAAGATAGTATCTTACATAAAAGTACATCAGTTCAAGTTGCCACACTTTACAGTAAGATACAAAGAACAAGTAGATAAAGAAAGACTGTTATTAAAGTAGATAAAGGTGTACAAGAAGAGAAACAACTTGAAGACCAAGGTTAGTAAAAATGTTCGAGCTTTAGAAGACTTAAAAAAGGGAATACACCTACACCATTGTGACCGATCTGTATTCAATCAATCAATATCAATATAGAATCAGGCGTTACTGTGTAACGGTCGAGGTTGCCACACCTCGTATCACCACATCAAGTAACCAAGTAACAAAATCAAGGGTAAAGAAAGAAAGGAAAATCGAGCAGAAGAAGTAGAAAGTAGTAAACGAGAGAAACGAGGAGTGAAAAAAAAATACTGAATTCAGTACAGCGCCTAAGGTGGAGATAAAATGTAAATGCATTTGTGCCACTGACATCCATTGTGAGCCATATCACCTGGAGTCTCCAACCACTGGTTTCTGTTGTCATGTGGACCCCAACCGACCAGTCTGCATCTCCCTACATGACTCAGACCAGCAGTCAAAGACTCAATACAGTGGTGTCATGTTTTATTCTGACCTGCCCGAGTCTTTTTCCGGCCTGAACCTACTTTACCTAGCATTGCGCGACGAGGTAGACAGTGACTAGATATGCGTAACACATATCCCAGCCATCTCAGTCGATGAAGGTTCACAACCACATCAATTGACTCTTTACTTCCCCCCCCCTAAAACTCTACTCCTGACTTCTACCTTAATCACGTGGTGACACGACGATACATGGCCTGTACTATGAACAGTGGTCAAACACCGGAAGCCTTCTCATGTCCTCTACCTTTAATGGCCATGTTTCGCAGCCATATCGTAAAACAGAGTGAACTGCACTCGACCCTAAACAGGCAGTGGGATAACACGGCTGAGCCATGAGTGGCGTAAGCTGACGAGAGCCTGTCGAACTTTTGGTTTCCGTGCAAAGATGTTGTCGGTCACTGACCCATCAGAGCTGATCCGACCTCTGAGTAAGTGAAGTGATCAACGCACTTAACCATTCCACGCTTCATTATTAGACAGGGCATCACTAAAGACCAGTTTTTTCTGGGCGGCGAGAAACGCATGCCACACTTTCGAATTCCCACTCAAGGTGACCAGAAGACTGCATCTTGTCATTATCTTCACCTGACAAGACTGTGTCATCTGGCTACTCTAGATCTACGAACGATCCTCTGGTGATAAGATCAATCACCGTAAAGTCTGACGATGAGAGGGAGACGTCTGTGAGAATGTCGATGAGAAGGTTGAATAAAAAGTGAATAGAGTAAGCATCCTTGACTGGCATCACTCGATGTGCACAGCTCAACTGACAACTCACCACAGGCTGTAACGCACTCGTGGTTGTTGGGGTACGGACGTTTCAACAGAATGATATAATTACTCGGCACTCGTTTCAGTGAAAAACACTGCCATAGAACCTCTCGATCGATGGAGACGAACACTGCACGCATGTCGAGAAGTATATCTAGTGTCGGGCGTCAGTAGATGTGCCTGTGTTACAGAACCCTGCGTAGTGTGAATATCTGGTCAATACACCCACAGTCAGGTCGGAAGCCTGTTTACCTGGCTTTCTCGGACTTGCTGTTGCCGGGCTCCTTTCAGACGTCTAGTGATAACAGAACCAGGAATCTCAGACACTTTGTCGGTCTCACTGACTCACCTGTAGTTAGCACAGTAGGATTTCTCACCTTTCTTAAAGATAGCGACAGTCATAGTGATTGAGACCAGACAACAGGGATCATATCTGATTCCCATACGCTGGCCAGGAATCCCGTTAGTCTGACCAGTAATCGTCAACTATCGTCCTTAAACACCTCCGGTAACTAGTCTGTTTGATCCTGTTGCCTTTCATGTTATAAAGTTACTGACAACTCTATCGATTTCGAAAAGTGCTGGAAGCCCTATCTCAATGTGCTATTCTCGATGTGATGGGTTGGTGGCAACAGAATTGTGGTGTCAGGCCAGTTGATCTGTTCCTCAAAAGGTCCCGCCTGCCATTCATATAAGCTATTCACTTAGTCAGTCGCCATTCTATCCTTATTCTCTTTCGTTTCACCAACCGGTGTCGATTTCGCTGTTTACTGTTAGAAAGCGTCATTCGTTGCCTTTTGCATCTCTTTAGCCTTCGCTGTACACCATAGTTCGCGGTCATAGCGTGGACTTTTTGTCAGTTTATGTTTGAGTTGCCTTCACTCCTCATTGCACTCGGAGGCTGAAGGAATGTATTCACGTGCATCTATTAAGTTAGAAAAAGCTGTTGAGATCCACTGGTTCTTTTCAACCACTCTCTGAGAGTTGGCTGTGGTCTTCATTGTTTTTGTTTACAGCGGTTTGGACATGGCTGCAATCTTATTTCAGGTGAGAGCTGATATTCTATTCTGATAACTATCGAACCGGCTTCTCACTGACAGTAGCCATGGCAGTTTCATTATTGAACTGTCTCTGCATTCGCCTTGTTGCTAGTTTTCCCTACATCCATCTCTATGCATGGATATACGTATATATCTATGCATATATCATTTGATTGGACATAATGAATGATCCAAATGTGAATAACTGTCGCTGACAATAAGCCTTGTTGCCTTTATTTTGTAGTTTGTTGGTCAACGTTTATCCCAGGATGGTCGATGTGAATTTCTCATACGTTGGATTCATGGATCTGGGCAGAAGTAAGCTTAATTTATGTTAATACGTTTTTGTAAACTAGCCTATCGATAAAAATAGTGTTTGCTGAATACCGAGTGATGTTTTAGCATTTGTATCAAACAAACAATGAAAAGTGAATGTTGAACATGATTTAGTGTTTTCTTAATTATCTGGTTTGGGTATGTAACTTGTTTGTGGAAAGGCTTTATGCTGTAGAAAGCAGTCTGGTTTCTGAGTATTACTTTAGCGACTCCTTGGAGAATCGCTAACTGTATGTTTTTGTGTTTCTATTAGTTTTCTTTGTGTTGTTAGTAGTTTGTTAAACTTTTATTGTGTGAAAGCAGGGAAGAATATTCGTGATATTCAGTTTGAAGGTGCATAATTATTGTTACAGAAAACTGTCGAGAAATGAAATGATTGTTTTGTCGTTGCTAGTTTAGGCATTTTGTCATGTTTTTTATTTTGATGGGACATCAGTTGCTCAGCAATTAGGTTTACCTTGCAATCAACCATTTTGATGGCGTGATGAAGGATGTGCTGTCCATAATAAAGTGTTTCGTTCGGATGATTAAAAGTATTATGTTGATACTGTGGTGCCTGTGGTTCAAGCTTTTTCACCCAACTGTCTAGCCGTCTGCTTGGAGAGGTTATCAGGATCCCATCCTTCCGACCTATCATTAACTTATTGCTATCATCCCTAACAAGTGTAAATAGTTCCCGACTGCTACCGAACCCTGATACTTTATATCTCACTCATAACCAATACTTCTCGTGATTATTGCAGAGACTCTTGGTCAAATTACGTTTAAGTTGCTTTTGCTTTTCATTATAGTCAGATTCTTATCACACCGATCAGCTCCTTTGACGTTACGGAAATCCAATGACGTTTGTCAAACTTTTGGGCATATGTTACCAATTATCTTAATCACTGTTTCTACAGCAGCCTAAATTTCACACCAAGTTTCCTCAAGGTGAGCTTGGTTGTCACCTTCAGAAAAATCCTGAGCTAAATACTTCATTAATGCTTACTTGGGGTCCTCATCGTCCAGTTGGGGACACAATCTTTTGTGCTGCCCGTCTACTGTGACCATTAAGGTGCCAACATAATCGAACCCGCACTAGTGCGTGATCGGAGTGTAAGCAGATGCTACAGAATAAGCAGCAGTTCTTCAACAATCCTCTCAAGCGCTGGCTTATGGCTATATGATCTACCTGTTTCCATCGTTGGCTTAGTGTTGATGGACACCATGTGAGACAGTGTCTCTCCTTACGCTTAAAGGTAGTGCTGACCAAAAATAAGGGATTGTCAGAACAGTATTGCAACAGACGATCACTGTTGTCTGTTCGTTGGCATGGGATTCTGCGAATGCCTCGAAGATGCCTTTCCGACTGGCTCAGCTTCCCTACCTAAATGTTAAGGTCACTTGCTATTATGACTACATCTGAATGCTTTGCTTTACGTAGCGAAATTAACAACTTCCGATAGAATTCACACTCTGCATCACGCTGACTGCAGTCGGTGTATGCGTTGGCGAAGATTACGAATAGGCATCGCCTAGTCTCACGACCCAGACCCATTTAGTCGAACAGTATACAGATGTCTGTTGACTTGTGTCCATTCAAGAAGTTCACAACAGCTCGATGCTACACCTACATCAACAAGTCCATGATAGTTAGTCACTGGATCTCCAGATATTCGTAAGGTGAATTTTGACTACTCATCACACTGGCGAGTTGAGGTCAATTTGCCAAAGATTCTAGAGTTGTGGCGAGGGATGCTGGTTGTCTGATTTGACACTGAGTTCGGACGTTCAAAGCTGCAATATGAGGTCGATGGTGGGGTCATAGGAGATTAGGAATATGGTTTCGTCGGCTTTGATCCTTGGCAGTGGTTGCAGAATAAGAGGTTGAGAAAGGTGCCACAGCCTTAATATTGGTAACAGGAGATGGTAAACAAAGGAGAAGGTGGGTTGAGGAGGATATGTTTTATTCTGTTGGGTATTGTATTCTACTGGGAGTGTTCGGGTGGTTGACAGTTCCTGGCTTCCCACACTGTGGAAGTTATTGCTTCAGGTTACCTGAAGGTTACAAGGAGGATATTTGTGTGACCGTCAAACCTATCTGACATGTGGTTTAGCCTGCTCACACAGCGTGTTGATGATTGTTGCTTTACGGTTTGATTGTCATAACACCGATACCACCTTGCTGCAAAAACTGTGGGAAGGAGGAGTGTGCTATTTTTGGGGTCAGCGTTTTCTAACGTACTCTCGCCAGTGGGAAGGCAGCATCAACGTGGTACTGCTGGCCATCTAAGTGAAACAGCTTGCTGCATCCTTGCACCACCCATCCAGCAGTATAACGTTGCCGTCGGACCCTTATTATACCAACGTACATCACAATGGTAACTGTTTTTCGTCTAACCGCTATGCGCCATCCGTTTTTTGTATGGTAGGCCTCGATTAAAACTGCATTCCAACCTGTATAATTCGTCCAGGTAGCACCTATCAGTTTTTACATCACAGTGAAGACTGAAAAGAAGAGTGAACTGTGCTCTCTCTCTCTCTCTAACTTCTGATGCACCTAGTGACTTCAATGAAGCGAAGCATGAGTTCTTCCGAAAACTGTTTAGCCTGCTACTGAAAATATAGCGCTTAGATATCCTTTTTGAGGCAGATTTCAGTGCTTAAGTGGGTAGGTCATGTCATTCAGAAAGGCATTTAAGTGGCACTTTCGAAACAGCATCCGAAAGGACAGGCAGTGACGATCGCATGGCACAACTGTGCTATGACCACTATCTATTTGTCACAAGCACGCGCTTCATGCTTAAATGGGGACATTCTATGGCGTAGCGTTCACCGACCTGAAATCGGCAGTGTACATAGACCATATTGCGACCAGTTATCGCTGAAGAAGGTTGGCGGAGATCGCTGCTCTTTCTGGAGCACGTGTTTAGACAGTGATGGTGCGTTGGTTTGAGAACGTATATGTCTGCATTTGAATGGACGTGGAATAATTATAGTGACAAGAATATTCCACGCGCGGTTCAGTGATGAGAATACTGGCTAAACAGTTGTCGGAACAGAACAGCGTCTCTCATCCGGATAAAGCCTATCACCGTTTCCAGTTTACTATGAAAAGATCATTAAATATAGTCGGTGACTCTTAGAAAGTATCAGTGGATCTCAATTGCTTCTGAATTATGACTGCGTGTAAACACATTCCTGCAAACTTACTACTCTGAAAAGTGTAAGCAACTCAACGTAGGCTGAGAAATTGTCTGTTTAAAGACCGCAAATAGTGGTGGGCAATGAAGGCTAACAAGATTATGGAAGCAACGATGACCGGTGAAATCACTAGACAGCTGGTAAAACATCGAAAAAACTGGGGTCAGAAGGTCAAAGGTTGGGGAGACTATAGTGAAGTATTGGTCTGAGGTTCATTCTGTGAGCGGAGCATTTCAAGAAATGGCTCAGTTTGCCTCCAGGTCCAAAAACACAACATCCGTTCTTAAAGTTTTTGAATGTTGATGCATGCAAGACAATGTAGATTTTCTTATTTTTACATGTTTGATATTCGAAATTGATGGTTGGGTAGGTAATATGGCTCAGAATCGTAATTAGGGGCACGGATGCATCCTACGTCGTCTTAATCGTGAGATTGAATTTTATTATTGCTTCATTTTCTATTGTTCTCTTCTCGCAACGTTACAGCAATTTGATCACTTTCTTCCTTATTTCATTGTCTTTCATCTAGACTTCTAGACTAATGTACTGATATGAAGTGTAGGAAATTGAGCTGTTAGCAGTAATGCTATATCCGATGGTAACTTGTCTTGTACGTTGGAAACCTTCAGTTGACCTATTTGTTTAATACGTCCTCTTCAAGTAAGGTATCTTCATCTAGTGTTATTTCTTGTATTACATCGTCGTTGATTGGACCGAATTGACCTGTCCCTGTTGCCATATGGGCTCCTGTGCGGATACCCCAATATTGCCTGTCTTTTAACTGTGTATAGTAATGATGGGCAGTGGCTAGCGGCTGACGAGTCCCGAATAGGACGAAATGCACATCCTGGATTCCACTGCTAGCCACTGCCCATCATTACTATACATAGTATCTTCATCTGTTTTTGAATATCTCGTCCACCTAATCTGTGAATCTTCCACTGACACCACATGAAGCATAATTCTCAGTGTAAGCATTGAAAAACTGCATTAATAGTTATCAACAGTAGTCGTTTTGTCAGTGTACTGTAAATTAGTCTTTTTCGTAAGGAGTACCTGGTTATACTTCTGTCTCCCTATGTTTTGCTTAAGGGAAACCGAATACAACTTAAATTTTATAAACATGACCTATATGACCGTTTTACTGAATGTATCAACAATTCTCATTCACAATTTGTTTTGACAGTTTATTATCTTATGCATCTCATATGTTACTGCTACTGTAATATACGAATCATCTTTAGTCGGTGCTTGTAAGATTTTAAATACGAATACCAAATATTCACTATCAGAATAATAGTGTTTGTACTTAGATTCAAAATGCTAATAGGTTACATACTACCTGGAGTTGGTGAGACCAAACCATAAACTTCTTCAAACCTTCTGCAGCTCAATGTGGTTCTTATTTTTATAAATGTGAGGACAGTAATCCATCGTAACATTTATTTGACCGCATTATGTGGTGGCTTACTAATGACATTAAGTTTTGATAATTGTGGTGAAGGTGAACTGTCAGAATAAGTAGCATAGACGAAGATGGTGTGTCATAACTACTTTTCAGTCCGTAATTCTAGTAAATCCTTGTCACGATGGCGAATCAATTCTACTTTCAGAACTTGAAGAGTTATGATTAATGATCAAATCCTTTGATTTGTTTACCGTAGGTAAGCGCGATTATTTCACACAGATATTCAATTTCTTTTTTCTTATTGTCGCTATCATAGTCATTTGCTTCGGTGGAACAACGCATTAATCTATTCATTTCCTCAGTAAATAGGAATATGAACAAATGGTATGAAGTTGCTTTTGAGTTACATTTTACTATATGAACAGATTACTAAACATCTAGGCCATAGTTGTTACAAATGAACAGACTACTGTTCATCGTTTCAGTGTCTAACTTCATAACATGACAATGTTGATATTACACAATTTTCTTAATTTTTGTAGCACTATTCCCCCTACTTGGATTTCCGAAGAAGAGCTACAAATGGCAGCTCATTTAGATTACAGTCTGTGAGATGTGCAATATAATGTGATCTTGTTATATTATCTGAACGAAAGATGTTGTTTACACTAAAAGCAACCTTTTCATTAAATAATGAATGGTTGCATTTTTCTGTTTACATTTTTCGTTTGTCCTTCACACAGCGTAAAATACGGGCTTTCGATCTTTTGTTGAACTCCTCACCTAATATTGAACTCAGCTGTGAAAATAAAATGTATTTGTATATCATTTTTACTAATCAACTTACTTTATTAATTCTTGTTTGCTAGTGTTTGTTTAACTTATTTATTTTGCGTTAGTTTTTATGTTCATCCTTTTTGTTCTAACCGCGTAGTTACTGATTTTAGTTGTTCAATGATCATGGATCATGCGTTCCGTTTTTTGTTTTTTTGCTCAATTTAGGTGACCATATTTACACATCTATATATTCATGATGTTAGGATTTTCTCAAATGTTGTTCACATTCTAGGTGTTCTTGAAAAATACATGACATAATTCTCCAGTTTTGTGTTAGTTACCAAAACAATATCTTTCTAGCACTCAAAAAAATAGTTTGTTACCAAAATATTCAGTAATTTCAGACATACAATTATTTCTGTTATGTTGTTGCTTAATCAACATAACAAATAACGATGGTCGTAATATCTTTTAGGTACCATGAAAAATCAACTTCCACAGTGTCGGCAGCCGGGAAGTGTCAACTGGCCGCAAGCATCCAGCAATATACGTAACCTATCATCTTTACCTCAGTTTGCTCCTTTGCCTTCACTTCCTGATGCTAATATTAAACCTCTTACACCTTCCCCAACTTCTCATTCTGCGACAATCGCCAACCTCATTCTAAGCAACCCAACACCCCGCTATCGATTTCATATGGTAGCTTCCAACGTCTGAACTCTGGCGAATCAGACAGCAGGCATCCCTCTCCAAAACTCTAAGATCTCAGGTCATTGATGTATGCCGTGTCTCTGAAACACATATACCGGATCAGAGTGTGGTTGTTAAGTTGACCTCACCTAACTAATCGGGTGAATCTTCAAAATTAAGAGCGAAAGCCGTTTAAACGGCAGTGGCTAATTAAGGAAGAATCTTTGCAATAATCATAAGCAGTGGCGGATGCCGAAACTGAAAGAGATAACGAAGGCATCAGCGTTGGGTAACCCCAACTATTTGCGCTTATTATGGAGACTGGCAAGAAGAAAACGATCACCAAATAGGATAGGACACTGATAACCTCCCAAGAAAGGTGGCCAGTACGTCTGGTGAAACACTGCAGCACAGTTTAAATGGACCCTAGCAACGCTTCTTTCAGCCTACAGGCAGGCCGAACCTGAATGGGACGTAAATGTCGGTCCTCCAGGTATCGTTTAAGTTTAGAAGGCTGTCTTGAACCCGAAACGATGCAAAGCAGCACGACCTGTCAGTTTACCACCCGCAGTTTTTAAAGATGGAGTTAGGAAATTGATGACTGAGGTACTAGATAATGTATGGGAATCAGAGGTAGTCCTGTGAGAATGGTTTACTTCACTGAACATTACAGTCTGTAAGAAATGAGATAAGTCTTCCTGTGACAGCCATGGGAGATTGAGTATGACTTACATCATTTCCAAGATTCTAAGTTCTATAGAGGTACCGGACACCAAACTGAAGCTCTACAACAACAAACTCGAGGAAACCTGGCAGGTTTGAGACCTGAACGAAGGTGCATCGATCACACTTTTACCCTCTAGCAGGTTCTGGAACACAGGCATACAATAGTCAACACTTCGCTTATTTCTCGACCTGAAGGCAGCATTCAACTCAATCGACCGTGAGGTGTTGTGGGAGTGTCTGACTATAAAGGAAGTACCGCGGAAGTATATAGTGCTCCTCAACGGTCTTCATTCAAACTCACGCATCCGTGTAAGGGTTAATGGATAGGATTGTCAACAACTAGTAGTGTCGATCAGGGGTGTCCCTGTCACCGTTTCTACTTAACTTCCTTATGTCTGTAATAGTGGACATAACCTTCGGTAGGTGTGACTTCGCAGGGATTGATCTCCGTGGAGGTCAGCTGGTTTACTTGGAGTATGCAGACGATATTGTCTTGCTAGGTGAAGAAGACGCAGGAAAATGCAGGGTGTTCTCAATACAAATAGAGATCTGTGTATTTTCTATGCGCTTCACATGTGTCAAATGTAAGATGATGCTTCATGACTTGTTTGCTGCAAGTACTCTCAGTTTAATGATGGGCAGATGAGTGATTAAATGTGTTGACTGACTGTTGTTGTGAGCCATGTGGAGAGGTGAAGACTATGTGACTGGGCTCCCCAAAATGACGGGAATCAGTGGATGAGAACTGTTTCGATGAAATGGCTGAAAATCGGTCACAATGGCGCAGATGTATCCCCTCTTTAACGTCTTTTCAAGCTTGAGTATTCGCACTAACCTTTATTTTCAAACTGTTTTGTTCTCTCACACAACTTTGTCCTTTTTGATATTAGTCTTTTTCTATCCAACTGCTGTGTGTACTACTGTGGTGTGTTAACTTGAACCGATGGACGTGTGTGCGAGTTCCTACCTTGATTCTATCTTCTTTTCTGTGTTTTCCGACCGCCCTTCTGAAGGGGAAGGCAGGATCAGCGCAACACTGCTTGTCATCCAGAGGAAACTCTTTATTGCTGTCATGTCCCATCCAGCTAGCAGCAGTACGACTTCGCTCTTTAAGTTCCATCATAGTGTAGCAATTTACGCTATGACAATAACTGTTTTTGTCTAACGACTATCCAGTAAACCTTTCTTATATGGTAGGACTTCGAAGGGACAAGCGTTCCAGCAAGTTTAGCTCGTTAGGTCATTGTGACATGCAAGTTCAACCACTACATCGAGGTATTAGTCATCGGTTGGGAGATTGTAGATATTTCATCAGGAGTTATCGTTCGTTGATTCAGTAAGAATCTTGAGTTTACTGTATTACGGCTGAGTTAGATTTAAACTGAAAAAAGGTTATAGGTGGCCGGACTATCCGTAGGTGAGATTTTTGACTATCGGACTGGTCTGCAACCACTCGTATTTCAGTCATAACGAGTTTAGTGGTTGGATGCTTCGTTTACTTGTGGAGTTGCATCAACTCGAACTGGCTTTTTGCTGACGAAATCTCAGCTCAAGTAAGATAAGCTCATTCGGGAGTTGTCATCTGTTTTGCTGACTATCGAAATATCCGACTATCTATCCAAGGTCCTGTATACTGGGCTGTAGTTTCTTTTTTTCCTGTTATACTGCTGTGAAACACGGCGTTCAAAAGTAGGCAACATGAAACGGCGTCAGGGTTTTGATCATTGATGTCTTCGCAGCACTGCTCGCGTTTGGTGGAATCACCATGTGAACTATGGTCAGGCGAAGGGTACTAAGTTGATTGGTGGAGCTTCTTTTACCTTTATCGACTGAGATGTGTTGAGCATAACGAACCACCGCTCACTTGACGTGCAATGCTAGAAGTTGGATTAAGGTGGAAGAGAGTTCAGCGTATCCAGGCAAAGACGTCACACCAATTTATGAAATCTCTTACTGTCGGCTCAAGCCATGTTATGAGATGAAGACTACGTGGTTGGGGTTTTCGAGACTATTATAATCAGCGGTATAGTTTAAGTTAAAAGAGTATAGTTCCATAGTAGACTTTTGATTTCATATAGCACATATTTACTGAGTATAATTTACTGGATGACATTTCAAGCAGGATTTATTGGTCATGTTCGTAACAAATTAACCACACTACATTTAAACTTTCGTTACATAGTCGGACGGCTCTTTATTCTTTCATCTTAAAGGTAGTGTATTTCTCCATATATGTGCAATATGTGATAATTCATTCCTGTTACACGTTAGGTGTTGATTCAGTGAACAAAGATTCTGTGTCTTCAAAAATTTTAAGCAGTTAGTCCCTTTTATGAATTTCAATAGCATAAGTCGAAGACAAAGTTTATCTGAACAATGTGATGTAGTTGCACAATACATTTCGAACAATCTGATCCACACACTTGTCAAGTCAATATATATTAATACAAAGAGTTGGGGGGAGGACAAATACAACAATTAACACAGTAGGGGATTAAAATTAAGAAAGATGAGAACAAACAGGAAGTGACCTAATTGATACTAATCTTGGTAAGAAAACAAAGTTTACCAAGGTAGGTGTAGTGTAAGAATAAACTGTTTTTTGTACACATAAAGGTGGTTTCAGTTTGTGTATGGCTATGACTTCTGCAAGTCTCAGAATACGTCCTTGACTGTTTCTACATAAAACTGAAAGCTGTTTGAACACTAACTTTGTGACCTGTTTCTATGATATGTTTACCTATAGATGAAGAGGTTCGTCTCCCACCAGCGCTTATCACTGTTTCACACTCCATTTGTTTTTGAAGCCATTTCTCTTTGACGGTCAGTCTACAGAAAGCTTAGATGGACAGGACAATCCAATACAAGCTAGGTCTGATAAAATGCCTGTTTAATAGGATCTATCGTATCAGTACACCAGATACGATGGATGAAGGCATCAAATTACTGACCAAAGCACTTATGAAAAATGGATATCTGATGAAGTTTATAAACCGTTGTAGAGGTCAAGTATCACCGAAGCCAACTCTATATACGGTTCCTACGAAAAGCATCCGTACCACTCTACTATACAGGGTGCAGTTGAATAGTACCAGTTTAAGACGTAGGCTGACGCCAGCCATTGAGAAAACATATTACGCGGTGAATCTTATCATTGTGAAAAAAAAACATGCTTCACCAAAAGCCTAAACACTGCATCAACGATTACACCACATCCCATTGTGTTTACCAATATACATGTGCGTGTGGTCACACATACATAGGGAGGAGTAATCGAATCATGGATTTGAGGGTGAGAGAACATGTATCTAAATGGCTTCAAAAACAAATGGAGTGTGAAACAGTGATAAGCGCTGGTGGGAGACGAACCTCTTCATCTATAGGTAAACATATCATAGAAACAGGTCACAAAGTTAGTG